AGAGCGAGTCCTTGGCTTTGATAGCATGTGAGTAGCAGATGACTTATTTATCACTTCTTTAGCATGTGGTGTATTTTTGAATTGGAAAAAACGCAGCGTGAGTCACTGTCATCATTTCAGTCAAGGGACGTGAAAGGTTTTTATCTTTCGTGCACTTATAAACGCTTTCAAGTGAGCAGAGCATTAGGTGGTGTCTGTTTGGGGCTGAAACACCGTTAGAGGTGGAAATCGGTGGCAACCGAGCCTTCCGTGGGGACGGACACTGGGCGCCGCGGGGCCCAGACCCCCGAGGCGTTACCCCCTCGCGGGATGCACTCCCCCAAGATGCTCAGCCCAGGAGACGGTCCCTGGGCGGGTACTCTGGGGCGTAGTGGGGATGCAAGAGCTGATCTACAGCGGAAAGCTGCGCGTTTGTTGCTGCGGCCGTTGAGGGAAAGCAGAGGAGCGAGAGCGGCCGTTGGCTCGCGGCGGCTGGGAAGGGGAGGTTTCGGCACGCTGGGTCTCTCCCGGCCATGCCCTTCTCCTGCTGGTCTTGCACGACTTCTAGCACCTCCCTGGCCATCTGTGTGCTGCGTTCATTCACTGACCCTGCAGAAAAACCGGCCCAGAGATGGGCTTGGGGGCATCTTAGTGAGGTGGATCAGCCCGCGAAGAGGCGTAACGAGCATCGGGTTCGGAGCATGGCCGTACGCAGCCAGGAGTGAGTGGGGGACAGGGTGCGAATTAGGCACATCTGTATGGGTTGTGATTGTTTTCCATTGCACGTCTTGTAAATGGCGAAGGGAATTACTTTAAGAGCAAGAACAGTGATTATACACCCACTGTAGGGTTGTATTATTACTGATCTTAGCTGTTTAACTTTTAAAGTGAATCAAATGCTCATGAAAATTGCTTTGAGTGAGTTTAGTGAAAATTAATTGCTGTCTCACTTTCGCCGGAGAACAAAAGCGTGTTGGTAGAAGCATAACCTTCTCATCCAGAGCAGTCTCGGCCTCATGCCAGTCGGCATTTCAGTCTCTGTATCTCCTGCTTGCCTCCTTACTTCGTCTCCTTCATCTTTAACTACCGTGCTGGACGTGGCAGGTTCCCGGGGAGCGGTGCCGTTGCTGCGTGCTGGGAAATGCCGAAATAGGAGCCAGGACAACGGTGCGTGTGTAAGTAAGTGGAGCTCTGTGCCTCATCGGTGGGCCATGAAGTGGCAGCTCTCTGGTGTTAGGTGTGTAACAGTTGCGTCAACAAGCTAAGGATGTTTTTTGTTTAATTCAAGCAATAAAAGTTTTCACTGTGGGACTGATGGTTCTGGACTCGAGCCGTCCCAATGGCCCGTGCAGGAGTCAGCGGTGTTGCACACACGCATCAATTAACAAGCTCTCATGCCTTCTTGTCTGTGCCCAGTTTGCCAACTCCAGAGCGGTTGCTTTTTTAAAATTTGGTCCTTAAGTCACTGTCTCCCTGTGGTGAAAGCTTTCCCAGGGAGGGAGGAAGGAATGCTCTGTAAGAAATAAAACAGACCGCAACATGAAATATGCCTTGAGCTTCTGCCCTGAAATGTCCCTGACCTTTAAGGTGACGTTAACGCGTTGCTGCCCTCTGCTTCGTGTTTCTCTTGCCGCCCAGTCAGCATATTGCCCAAATAACTTAGGTTGTCGTAATCTGTGTTGTGCTCATGGCTTTAGAGGGAGCCCAAAAACTCGTACCTCTCTGATAGCTAAACCACAAATAATAAACAGCCCCAAAATATATCTACGAGTCTCAGCAGATCTCATTACTGGCGTCAGAGCTGGGATTGCGAGTGCCCATCGTTTGCGGTGCTGATGCCTAGTTAACATCTTGCCCTTGGCCTCTGTTCAGCAAAACCAGCTCTTCGCTAGTGCAAGTGGGTTTCCAGAGACTCCCAGGAAGCAGCAAAAAGGTAAATTTGTTGTGGAGCTTCTCCTCTTGGAGTGCCTGTCTGTTTTTCTGACTCTGTGGTTTTCTGCGTGTTGTGGAGGTGAGCACAGGGCACAGCTTGCCATCCAGACTGGACTCAACACTCCCCGTGGGGGGTTTAGTGCTGCTATCGCATCTAATAAAATACAGGTATGCAATAATTTAATGCTGTGATGCGGACGAACTAAGAGCACTTACATGTTCTGCTGAAATCAAATGACCCAAATTAAAAAAAAAATAATAGATTTAGTGTAGCCTCTGGTGAGCAGAGGCGATATCAGCTAATCCCTGTACATCGCTTGGTGTACCTGGGGAACTATACGTAGCAGACCTACAGAACTAACTGGTTTGGCAGCTGCATAATCCTCCTCCAAAGAGGACAATCCCGCCGTGTAACTGGCTGCGAAACAGCGGAGGGATGTGCAGCAGAGTCTTTTGGTGTGGATGGAAGGAAAGGGAATGAAAAGAGAAGGATTCCTCCCTTTATGGCACAATAGCTGATGTAGGGTCGTTGTGAAAATTTTGAAGAAGGGCATAGAGTAAGGGTGCTGCTCATGGATTTTTCTGATCAGATTCCTGGTCGGTTAGATGGGTCTGCTGCGATACCTGGGGCACGCGACCTCTGCACGAGTGTCCTCAGCTCATCTGGCCCTTAGCTTCTCTGGCTGCCTTAAGATACCTCAGAGAATAATAAGAGTGGTAGTTAAGATGCTGAAGATCCTGGCAAATACTACGTGATGATAATCATTCTGTTCCTTAATATTCCATTTGCACTACCAAATTAGTGTTAAACTGCAAACAAGGAAATCCCGTTTTCTTCTTGTCTCATTTCACTGCTGACATCCATTTCTGAATATTTTAAAACATAATCTCGTGTAGTACTTCTTTCCAATTTCCAAAATTTTATCTGTTTTAAATGTAATTAAAATGATGGTTGTGAAATACGGCCAAGCAGAATTTATTCCAGCGTTGTGTATACTTTGAAGTATGATGTTAAGCTCTGGAAGACAACTCAGAACGCAAACAGCACTGAGCTTTCTGCTTTTCAGTTTTTGATATCGGACTTTCGGATGCCAGGGTTGACACGAGGCGCCTTCCAAGGACAATTACATGTGCGAGGAAGACTTTTGCTGTGCCTCAGAAACAAATAAATTCAAAATGTCCTTTTCGGACCTACTGTCCTGCTGGCTCGCCCTCCTTTGGACACCTCTGGGTAAACAGAGGGTGTCGTCATGGGTGGTAATTAGTAAAGGACTTTTATTTGTTTGTCTGAACTCTTGAATCTAACCTGTAATCGATGGATAGTTGTATAATTAATTAGGTCGCTGAAGTTGTGAAGGTGGGTGGCTACCAGCAAGCTTCAGTGGTCCTCATCAAACTGATGTCAAGGCTGGGGGGTGTGTGTGCATATATTTCTATATATAGAGAATCACTGTTAGCATTGGACTTTCTGCTGTCAGATCTAGTTACCAATGATTTATATGTTTATATTTGTGTATATATATGTGTGTGTATATATATGTGTGTGTATATGCACATATTGCATATAGATGTGTGTACATATATATATAGAGAGAGGTCATTGTGTATATATATGTACGCCGTGGACCTTTCCCTGTGCAAGTCTGCATTCTCATTCTGTGCGCTTCTGTATTCTCTCCTCACCTTGGACTTTGAAAGCTGTGGTCACGATGTTGTTTTATCTATTTTTCTTTAACTGTCAGTGAGGCAGAAGAAAAGGTTAAAGAGAGTTTTGTTATGGTAGGTGATGTTTAAGAAAGAAACTGTATGGACAAGCTGACTTTTCTTCAGGGACCTTATTCATTTGTTCTCTTGGCCCTGGGTAGAGAAGGTTTCTGTAGGGAGGAGGCTACTCCTGAGCAAGTACTGCATTCGGACTGGTTGATTTTTCAAATACAACAGACAAAAGGGATGTGCTGAGCCCATGTCACAGTCGGAGAATACAGAATAAATGCTAATGAATAACTCACTAATTTAGCATTTTTTAAGGAAGCTTCAAATTCGTGGTATTACAAAGAAGATGTGCTAAAAGCTGTACATAATTTCCTCTCACTTTACATGCAGTTTAATTTACCTGTGTGTGTGTGTGTGTGTGCTGAGCAAAGTACGCACATGCTCGCCTGTCCCTCCTGGAAGGGCCTTCCCGAACCAGGGTGACAGCGGTGACAGCAGAGCCAGAAAATCATGCACTGGCAAAACAGCAAAAAAAAAAGTGGAAATTCTTCTAAGTCACAATACTTAAAAATCTGTATTAAGTGTGTTTAAGTGACCTGACTTGACCTGCGTTGAGAGGTTGATGTAGGCATGTTTGTATATTTGAAATGTGTCCAAGATCTGGAACAAATACGCAGAATTTTATGTTGTCTTTTGGAATAAGCAAATAGCTTTCATTTGCTTCCACAAAATCAGCAATGTTTGGTGTCTGTTGCTCACTTTGCCTTAATGTTTACATTTTCCAAAAACAGGTGAAATTATTGACCTCTCGTTCTTCCATTGAATGGGCGTACAGAGTGTTCGAGAAAAGAGTAATTTTTTCTTCTTTTTGAGAAACCACCAAAGAAGATAAGGTCTCGGAGGCCTGTGTACTTCAAACCATGGAATTTGGGATTTTTCGCAATAAAAGACTTATTTGACCTAACTGTAACCACCCGATAGGCTTCATATTAATTGCCCCGTGTCCTGTGTGCAGCTAGGAGATCTCTGTTTGCGATGTCCGGAGGTGTCGGGGCTGAGGCTGCTGGATGCTGATTGCTCAGGGCACCAAGCGGGAGCGAGGAGCCCGGGAGCCCGAGGGAGCTGTGAAGGCAGCGGTGCACGTTCCCCTGGGTGCTCTGCTGGGTTTTCTTAGCAAGAAAACAGGATCTGAAATTCCCTCTGCCTTTGGGCTTCTGGCTTGGGAGCCTGAAAAGATCAGTAACCGGTCTGAAATGTCTCCTGCTCAACAGGCTCGAAGCCCCGTTTCCAGGCTGTCCTGTTGGTAGAGCTCTTCAGGATTTTCTTAAAGATTAACCCTCTTTCCTTCTGTGGTTTTATTCTGTATTTTTTGGCAGGTGCAAGACAAAAGTCTACCCCGACGAACTCCCCAACACAAGTGTAGTTATTGTGTTTCACAACGAAGCCTGGAGTACCCTGCTTCGGACCGTGTACAGCGTTATAAATCGCTCGCCGCACCGCCTGCTGTCTGAAATCATCCTGGTGGACGACGCCAGCGAGAGAGGTGGGTCTGGAGCGAGGAGTCCCGTTCCGCGTGTTGTTTTAGCCCAGCCTGTGGGGATCCCGCAGAAAGGCTTGAGAAGCGTTCGTCAGCGCCGAACCGGACCTGTGCCTCTCGCCGAGCATCTCCGGCCGCTGCCGGGGCCAGCAGCAGATGGGCTCTGGTAGGTGTGGGCAGAGGTAAAGGAGCCAAAGGTTGGTTGTCAGGTTGTTAAGTTGTATATACGGTGCTCCTATCCAGAATTTCATGAGTGCTCTTTTGCACTGCAGTTTATCGTTTCATATTACTGTAAAAGACAATCCCTTTTCACATCTCCCTCTGTCTCTCTCTCGCTGTCTCTCAAACCGCCCTGTTCTGTGTTGCAGGTTTTCCTGAATGTCCAGTCTGACCATTTCCTCGTATTTCTCATATTTGTGGTTCATTTCTTTTGGTCTTGGCTTTCTTCTTCTTCTTCTTCTTCTTCTTCTTTTTTTTTTTTTTTTAAACCTAGGGTTTAGGGAGAAAACTGTCTGGATGTGAGACTGCTATTACCTGGAAAAAGAATCACATTACATTCTATAAATGGAATCAATGGAATGATAAATTTTCCTGGAGTAGCCAAATGTATATAATGGCAAATACAACATAAAGCTGCAGCTGTTCAGGAGACAGAGGATGCAAGCTAAGCCGTCCTTTCTTTCTGCCCCATGTAGCATTAACTTAACTCTAATTACTCTCCTGGATTTCCCTGCTTCAGAAAACAAGTGGGCTTAATGGTTCTCTGTGCCAGAAGGTGGAGGAAGACCTTAGCCCAAGTAACTACAATTTTTCCTAAAAGCAAAGTTTTAGATTCCTCAAGGGCTCAAATGGTGAAATTCATCAAAAATAGCCGTGTTTGTATTTAAACGTGGACAAATTTGCAAAAGTGTAATAATTTTGCGCTCACTATTGGTTGCTGTTTTTTTCCAAGGAAACCGATCGTGACTTATTTAGAATTTCTGGAATGCTTCATGAGATGCTCTGGTGGATGCATGTGTACGCAGGGGCTGTTTTCCCCCACGTGTGGCTGCGCTGAACAGAGTGCCAGGGTGAACCTCCACAGCTCAGCTCTCGGGCTTCAGAAAAACTCTAAACATGTCAAAATGCGTTTCCCGTGTTACGGCAGTGTGCGTGCGCGGCAGTCCTCCGAGGGCCGAGCGTGACGCATAAACTCTGCGGTTATATTTGGAGTCCTCGGTCGTTGCTGAACCTAGCTGAAAATAATGTTTTTCTTCTGTTTTTTTTTTTTTTCTTTTCAATTATCTTTGGCAGAGTTTTTGAAGGCCTCATTAGAGAATTATGTGAAAAATCTGGAAGTCTCCATAAAAATCATCCGGATGGAGCAGAGGTCGGGACTGATCCGCGCGCGGCTCCGAGGGGCAGCGGCCTCTAAAGGGCAGGTGATAACCTTCCTGGACGCGCACTGCGAGTGCACCCTGGGCTGGCTGGAGCCGCTGCTGGCCAGGATCAAGGAGGACAGGTAAGGGCGGCCGTCCTGCGCCCGGCTGCGGGGGACCTGCGCCCTGCCTCCACCGTTCCTTGCTTTCACTGCGCTGCTAAAAAATAGAAATGAAAACAACTCATTGATCTGAAAATGAAGATGTAATTTTCTTTTTAATTTATCGGGAAGATAGAGTATTCCCTAGTATTTGTATCAAAATCTAATTTCCAAATAAATACGGGATCAGTTTTTGATTCTTACCGCAGGATTTCTGTTGCTGACAGTAAGAATAATAATGTTTACTTTCACAAGGTCTGGGTATCCCCCACCTTGATGCCCATCTTTCTTTTTCCAGGCACAACTTTTTGTCTGTGTGACCTCCAATACGCTCTGAAATTTGCACTTTTTTCCTTTTTTTCCCTTTTTTTTCCTTTTTTTTCCTTTTTTTCCCTTTTTTCTCCCTTTTTTCCCTTTTTTCCCTTTTTTCCCTTTTTCCCTTTTTTCCTTTTTTTCCTTTTTTTTCCCTTTTTTCCCTTTTTTCCCTTTTTTCCCTTTTTTCCCTTTTTTCCTTTTTTTTCCCCTTTTTTCTCTCCCCCCTCCCCCCTTTTTTTGCAGTAGGTGATGCAATTTTCCCCTTTTTTGTGCATAAGTGCACAAAGGCCCTGCAAGTGAGACCCCAAAACCCGTGCTGTCCCCCAGCAGCGTTGCAGCAACCGAGGTCCTTGCTCTGCTCGGTGGAGGAGCAGCCGCGCGTGCGTGGGCAGCACCAGCCTGCCTAAGTGCACACATGGGAGATGGGATTTGTTCTCACTGATGAAACACAGTGCAGGTGCTCCACCAGACATGCATGCATGATAAAAAACCCCCCACTACTCAAGTCCTGCAGCCACAAGCAAAAATAGCCTCTGCTGTGTCTGTCCTGGCGCTGCCAGGTGCGCAGGTATAAAGGGTACGAAGGTGTACAGGTATACAGGGTATGAAGGTGTACAGGCAAACGCGATGTCATGTAAAGGAGTTATCAACACGGTGTGGTTCACGCTGCTGGGGTGAAGCCTGCGGCAGTCGCCCCTGCTGTTCGGAGAGGGTTTGCCCGGGGAGCGGGAGCCCCGGGCAGGGCTGGGTGTTGGCAGCGTCCAGCTCTTGGGAGTGCAGCGAGGAGTCAGCGTGTCCAAAAAGCCGCGGACAGCAGGAAAGGGGAATTTTGCATGGCCTTGTTTCTGGGAGAGGAGCCCTGTACGGAGCAGAGGTACATGGGGTTTATGCAGAGAAGCCTCAAAATAAGTGCAATATTCAGCATCCTAACATGAAACAATATTTTATTTTTAAAAAGCCACTTTTTTTTTCTTACAGGAAAACTGTCGTCTGCCCAATCATTGATGTGATCAGCGATGACACATTTGAATACATGGCTGGATCAGATATGACGTATGGAGGGTTTAACTGGAAACTTAACTTTCGCTGGTATCCAGTTCCCCAGCGAGAGATGGACAGGAGGAAAGGAGACAGGACCTTGCCTGTAAGGTAAGGAAGGTGAATCGAGAGTACTATGCTCTTTGACTCTACTCTGTACTTGTTTCTGTAGATAATAATGCTTAATCCCTAAGATTTTGCTGCAGTACCAGAGAATAGATGTCAGATAGTTGTGGCACACTGTTCAGGGTAGAGAAGACCAAATCCTTAATGCTGCAGTGTAGTTATCAGAGCTGAGAAAACTCATTTATATCTTCTTGTCAACATTCAGTAATTCAAAATATTACCTGCTTTTTAAGTTCCCTCTATATTTGTTTTCTGCAAATAGCCTGTTGACCTTGTGTTTACAGATGTTATTGTTTTTTTACAATTTAAGGCAAATATTAGAACGTATTTCTGAAATACACGTTTTTGAACGTTGAACCCAGGCATTCGGTTATGATGATTTGCACTTAAAATGCATGCTTTTATTGCTTAGAAAATAAAATTGATGACTGTGCACACTGAGTCAAAAATGATCTAGGAGTATGTCCTGAATTCCCCTGATCGTTCCTGACCTCTTTCATTTAATTGCTCAAATGACGGACTGTAACAAAACCTCTAGAAAAATTTTAAATGAAGCTGAAACAGCACAAATTGAATAAATGACTTGCAATGGGTTATTTGCTCAGCTCTAATAGCTTCTGTGGTCTTCATGAAAAAGTTAAAAAAAAAAAAAAAAAAAAGAACAAAAAGCTTTCACAAGTGGATGTAATGGTTTCAAACCTGTCTGAGAGACATGATGAAGTGGACAGAATTCCAGTCCTGCATACCCCGATTGTGCGCAACAGGCAGATAAAGGGAGAGCCAACTCAGGGCCAGCAGTCCCAGCACAGCTGTGCGAGACCCTTCCAGGTAAGGCAGTGGGTGGGCGAAGGAAAGCCTTTCAAAATTACTTACGCCGGCAAATGGCCCAGATCTGTCGCTTTATGTCCTTCAAAGCCTGGAGTCAGGGAAGGGCTGGATTTTTTTAGATTTTGTTCTCAGGCAATGATGTCGGAAAGAGCAAGCAGGGTCCCCGGGAGCCGGCCCTGTCGGTAGCAGAGGGGGGATGAAGCTATTCTTGAGTCGAGAGAACTGTTTTTCTCATCATCTAAAATATTATCACTCAGCTGTGAAGTCTGCCAGCAGCTATTTCATTAAGGCTGAGGTGTGCGTTACAATTGCGCGAGTTAATTACCCCAACGAGCTGCAGAGCCCGGCGCGGCGCTGGCTGCGGCTCCCGCCCTGTCGCTCTCTCTCTCCCATGCTGAACCAATTCACAGGCACCAGCAGTTTTCAAAGGAATGCAAATCCCAGTTCTTATTTCCTTATCTTGAAATGGAGTAGTACTTAAAGTTAATCCAGAATCAGGCATGTAATTGACTCTTAATATTATTAAAACAAAAAGAATAGCTTTTTTTTTTTTTTTTTTTTTTCCCCCACCAGCTTTTAGCTGGTGATTGCTTGGGGTTTTTGGGTGTGAGTGAGCAGAGCGTGGGCGAAGGAGTCGGAGGTCAATGCCAAATGCCGCGTGTCCCATAATTACCACTGACACCAGTGCTGTCGAGTGAAGAGGCGGCTCTGAGGGTGTGTAATTGCGCTGGCTTGAGACCAAAGTGCCAGCTTATGGCCATATAGGTGCCCTTCCTGACCACGTAGCAGAGGCATTTCAGTCTCTTCGGTGTCAGAAGAAGATGCTCCCTGTTTCATTTTCTTTTTTACATGAAGAGGAGGGAACCAGCAAAGCAGGTGAGCAGGTTCCCGGGTAGAACAGCCTTCCTATAGGAAACAACATTTAATAAGCCATCGGCTGCTTTCAGTGCTAGCTGGTATTTCCAAATGCTTGCCAAACGCAGTCCGAGAGACTGCAGCCGTTCATCAGTCCCGAGGTGTCAGAAACACAATCACAAATTCTGCATCCAAGGAGAAAAAGTATAATATTTCAGCCAGGTTAAGAATGGTTTTGGCAGCTGCTGCCACCTGAATATTCAAAAAATGGGGGGATAAATATAAACAAAAGCCTAACCCATGCCAAAAATTTAGAAAGACATTGATGAATGCATTTTTTTACTCCACGTTGCTTTCCCCATTCTGTAACATTATTTCAGTCTCACGTAGACTGAATATGTATTTATTCATATTTTTTCTTTGTAATCAGTGGAACAGGTATAGAATACAAACATCATTGGATTACGTTTGCGTGCCTGTATGTGTAATATAACCGTTGCACTCAAATTCTGCTTTTTATTACATTAACAATCCATGTCATTGACAAAAGTTTTACTCAAGATATTTATCTTCCATAACAACATTGATAAATCCCTACCTTCGCTTTTTAGATTTAAAATCATAACGCATACATTTTCAAGCCACGAATTATTTTATATACAACTTATTACTTATGTGTAATTTGCATTGCTGTGTAAGTATCTCGATGGGAGAGACCGGGACGGCTTCCTGAGGCGAGCGAGCTCGTGGGCGCGAACGGCGCTCAGCCATCCCGTCGCTGTGACCGTTAACCCCCTCGCAGTCAAAGGCAGGAGGTGCTCTGCCCTCAGAAGGGGGTGCCTGATTCTCTCTGGTTCCTAGACGTGAAACGCTGCTCGCTCGTTTGCCTAGGGAGTTCAAGGAACTGTTAAATTCCTCAGTTAGGTGTTGGAGTCGAAGATCCGCCTTTGTTGGAATCTCTAGATTTAGTGGGAAAAGGTTAATGAATTCAGCGACTCGATATTAAAACCCCACAGCTAATTGTCATGCCGGACAGCTGTGAAAGAGCTTTCTTACTGACGTCCGTTAGAAAAGTGAGATTGTTTGTCATATTTTTAGCAAACAGAGCGGCGGGGATTCGTAGGTGCCTCTCATGCTGATTAGCGACGCCTTGCCTCGGTTCTGATCCGAGACGTGTGCGTGGATGCTATTCCTGCCCTTCACACGCTAGGCCCTACCGCTTTGCTCCTTATTTTCTTCTTCTGGTTCTTAAACCCCAGTCCAATGGCCCTTCTCTTGTTCTCATTTTCTTCTTCTCTTATCTAGTTTTCTCTCAGGTCAGCCAACACCATGATCGCGTAACCTTTCCCAGAATAGTCTAAAATGGTGACTCTTCCCCAAAGAATCACAGGTTTTGCAAGGGTAGCAAAAGCCTTTCCAGTTTAAAGGTGGTAGGTGAAGGTGGGCAGCGCTAACGCTGGGGAGCTGTCCTGGGCACGGGGCAGGAGGTCCTGCCACCTCCGCCCCGACCCCTTCTCCGTACCCCCCGTCCTGGGGGAAGAGGGGATAGAAGTCCTGGCCATCAGATACTGGGTTTCTTGGGGGTTTTTTTAAATGTACTTACCATTTGTTTTTTACATGCACAATGATCAGAAGCAAAAATAACATCGGAGCTTTCAGTTCATAAGGTGTCTTTGCTAGGACCGAAACTATAAAGTGAGAATAGGAAGGGGACATTTAGAAGAAATCCCTGAAGAAAAGATTGTTCCTGGGGACAGAGCTGGTCAAGTCAAATATTTCATTCTATGAGGTTCGTTAGGGTCAGTTGAAACTTATTTTTTTCAGGTGTATTTGCAGAAATCAGATATGAGCTGTGGCTTGGAGCGCAGATGTTACCTGAGCCGTGGAGCTTGCAGGGGCTTCCAGGCCTTGCTCTGGGGGTCCGTTCCTTGCTCTGGGGGTCCGTTCCTTGCTCTGGGGTCCGTTCCTTGCTCGGGGGGTCCGTTCCTTGCTCTGAAGGTACAGCAGCCCCCAAGGACTCATGTCAATGGGTATATATGTATTTTCTTTTGTTGGAATAGCGGAGGCTATTCGTTGCTGTCCCGATGCACCTCAGGATTTTACCTTGTTTCCATATAGAGTAAATGCTGCAACTTCCACTGATTGTCACCGGTGTAACCTCCGGCTTTGTAAACTTTGTAAGGGATTAGACCTTGTCACAATGTGCTATTTTAAGGGCAAAGCCTGTTTCTGTTCCAGAGGGCTCTCCGGGATCAAAACCTGGATGGTTGCCCTGTGCAGAGGTGGAGCTTGAAGTTAAAGCTTCCTGCAGATGCTGGACGTGGGTAGATCTGGGAATTCGGAAAAGGGAGCGCTCCGGGCAGTGCGGCTCCTTCTCAGGCGTGCCCTGGTTCAGCGGTAAATGTTGGTGGGTAGTGCCAGCTAAAGCCACTGGTCCTGCTAAACCTTTCAGTCTTCTTTTTCCACTGAAAAATCCTTCCACAATATCGGTACTTTGCAGAACATCCTTTGCCTTTAGGTGAACTCATGTCTCCTGTGATTTTTTTCTGTGGCAATCGAAAACTTGTTTGCACTAAGATCAGTTTACAAACGTCTTGTCTTCTTACATCTACACTATTAAAAACATTAAGTGTTTCTGTGCTGGGCATTTACAGTCTCTGCACAGCACATTTCTATGCATATTTCCATACTTGCCCTTAATTTTTTTAAGCTGAAGATACTCCAGGCTAGTATTATAAATACTAAAAAATATATTTTGTTCCGGAAAATCTTTTCTCAAGTATAAATTAGTTATTGAGATGAAAAATACAAGATCAAATATTAGGAGCATATGGTATTTGTCGTCTTCTTATTATTATGGCTGATTAAACTTAGAGTTGACTATGATTAATACGGCCTAGGTGATGGACAGCAGTATTGGAAACTGGTGTAAAAACCTTATTCCAAGCTGTATCAATAGCGGTCTTGTTTGTTGGTGATGTTGCCCTGGGACTGCTGGACCTTTGAGCGGATGCGCAGGACGGGGAGGTCGGCGGCCGCGGGACGAGGTGACGTTGCGGGGCTCTGGGGAGCTCCCAGCCTGGGGGACCCGACCTGAGCACCCCGGGGCCAGGGCAGGGGCCGGGGACCCCTCGGGGCGGCTCCGTGCCAGCCCCTCCTCGCTGTCCCTCCCCGGCACTGGGTCGGAGGGATGGGGGGGTGCAGCAAATGGGTCACTGAGATACCTTTATGCTGTGCAGCTCCTCCTATGGGAAATTAAAAGTGCAGATACACAGGAGTGGGAATCCTGCTTGCTGCTAATAATTGCAGAAATGAGAAGCAGACGTTATCCCCAAAATAAAACCAAAAGTAGGTTTGAATGATGATTAGAGTTAATCGTAACACATTACTGTAGTTGTTAGTATGACTCCAAGCAGGCAAAATATAGCTAATAGGCGCAAAGCTGAGAAAAAAACTGTAGGAACCCTGACTCTTTCTAATATTACTGCTTCAGCTGTTTTTGCAGCGCGAGCTCTGCAGCTCTGTTTGTATAGCATTAAATTTACATAACAGGGAACAGTCCTGCCTGCTGCGTTTCGGTTATTTGAGACTCCGTGGCGTATATTGGTGCACAGTTACTTACATCTTACAGCGTGAAACTCAGCATTTCCAATTTCAGTTAGTGAGTTATTAGGGAAACACTGTTTTTCATAAACATTTGCTGATGACGTTTCAGAAGAAGCCAGTTCTGTGTGTACAATTCAGCTGCATCATTCAAAAACTGCTTAAGAGTGAATCTTTGCAAAAATGGGAAATTTGGTACCATGCAAGCAAAGACTGCCTTCCTCCGGGGACAGAAATGAAAGGAGGGAGAAGAAGGAGAGGAGGCAGGGGATGAGGGTTGCTGCTGCAGGCAGAGGAGCGGGGATGATTGTATTCGTCTGAAAGCAGCAGCCCTCCGCACGCCGGTCGGGTTAGTGAGGGTGGGAGAGCCGTGCAGGTGGGAGCTGAGGGTTGCTCGTGCAGCGCTGGGCACAGGCTCATCGAGGCGTTTGTGGATCGCTGTGAGGCCTCTGGGAACTCGGCCAGTTTGTCAGGAGGTGAGTAAGCCAGGTGCTGACACAGCTTTTGGTGTCAGTGGAAGTCCTTTTGCATAGGTTTCTAGGGTTTCTTGCTAGTCAATAACAAAAATTTCTTTTAAATACAATATTTTTGCATTGGTACTCATCTGGCACAAAACCAGTTCAATTAAGAAAGCTTGCAGAGTCAGCTTTATTTGGTGCTCCCCGTAATAGGTGGTATTTAGCTTTGGTGGAGGGTCCCGCCACCCGGCCGTTCCCATCTGCTCCGCTGGCTTGTAACGCGGCTCAGGGGCCAGCAGCATTGTCTGCGGCAGAAACCCAGCAAGGCTGAGGGCGGTAGAGCGGCTTTGAAACCTGGGAAGGTTTAGCCCTGTCCAAATGACAGGTAATTAACTGAGCTTTCGGTGCTGAGAGCACAGGGAGAAAAATAGAAACGAAGTGTTGGTAAACTCAGGGTCCAGTATTATTTCATTGCTAAACTGTGCTTTTTTCTGGGAGTAATCACAGTCAGCTCTTGCAAAAGAGGAAATAATTGCATAGCAGGCAAATTACGTGGATTTGTTGAGTTTGAGAGCCAGTGCCACCGCGGGGAAAGCTCTGTGCAGCACAGCACCGTCCCTGCAGGTCTGCGCCTCCGCACTCGTGTGTGTGCAACACCCGCAGCAACCCAGGCCCTGGCACGGTAACCGTGTGTGCAAATAGGGGTGCGCAGTAGCTAATTCACGTTGCATATAGTACATACAACAGCTTCTCAAGGAAGATCTGAGAAGCACGCAAGCAATTCAGGTTCTGCCATGGGTGGGAGCACCTGTGAAGCCCCTCTTCCAGCTTTTTCCTGCATTGCACAGGAACTGTTTTGCTGCTCTTGACTTGCTTTTCAGAAAAATTGTAGGAGCTTGTTTTATATCAGTGCTTGCACGAGGCTGTCTCCAAACACAGGAGCTCTTGCAGAAATGGAGCTTTAAATGGGCAGAAGTGCTGGTGCTGGAAACGTTGCACTTGCGTGGATTCAGGGTGCCTAATCTGACCACCGAGCGTCAGATGCGCCGAGCAGCCTTCACAAGCAGTTTGCTGAAGAACTGAATGGATGAGTTCATTTTTGTGGCTGCGTCCTTTGCCGTAGTTACTGGCACGTTTGTGTGCAGTTGTGCTCGTATGCTTTGAGCTTGACTTCTTTTGTGCATTTTCAAAATCCAGTCTCGCCCACTTGGCAGTCATTTTTGAAGCTGAGGACAGAAACGTGACTGATGCTTGACTGGCAAGGCTTGATCCGCAGCTACGTGAACGTGCCTGGAGGTCCTCACCGGCACAGACCGTAGGTGTAGGGATGCTGAGACCTCGTCAGAGTCCTTACGCCAACCCTGTCTGGCGCTGGTGGTGCCACCCCACGTCGCCCCTCGGCTTTGCTGCCAGGGGATGCTGGGGCCGCCCGCGGCACAGGGCCGGGGCGCGTTGTATCGGCAGGGACCGCTTTGGGCTTAAACCCCATGCTTGGGGCCAGCCCCTGAGCTGTGCACGAGGGCTCATGTGCACGGGCCGTACGTTGCGTCTACGGACCATATAGCTTGCGAGAGGGCCGTGGGTCGGTGGGTACGCCTGGGGCGGCAGCTCGGAGCCGCGTTCCTGCGAACTGGGGTGAGCGTTTTTCATTCTGTGTAGACTCGATAGTGCTGAAAAAACACAGAGCAGATATTTACGGGGAAATAGGACATCTTTACACAAAGCGAAGTTGCACTCTGACTGGATTTGCCTGTTGTAAGGATTTATAATCCTGTTAAGAGAGATTATGCCTGGTAATTTTATGCACATTTAGTCTCCCTCTAAGGCAAAGCTGAGGCATTAAACTCTCTTCACCAAGCATTTCAGATTGGATTTGAACTGCTGTTCTGGATGCAGAAGGCCAAAATTCCATCCACTTTACCATTACAATGCTCCTGAAATAATCTATGGAAATGTGATTTTGCGGGTAGGAAGCAATCCTGCAGCTCTGGCTCGGGCAGCGCTCCCATCGGCTTCGGGGGGGGCCCTGCCCGAAAGGCAAGCGCACAGAGTATGCAGCCAAAACCGTATTATTATTGTTAGTAGTTTATATTTAAGTTGCTGTACATAGAATATATCTATAGTCAAAATGTCTGGGGTAGTGAAATGTACTGTAGTGTCACTTAATAAATTCCACAGTGTCTTTCAAAAGGTATTTTTTCTTTTCTTTCTTTTTCCTCTTTTTTTTTTTTTTTTCTGTTTGTTTTCAACTAGGACCCCTACTATGGCTGGTGGCCTATTTTCTGTTGACAGAAACTACTTTGAAGAGATAGGAACTTACGATGCAGGAATGGATATCTGGGGTGGCGAGAATCTTGAAATGTCTTTTAGGGTAATTGCCGTTTTCCTTCATTTTCTGTCAACAAACACAGTTGTGCTGTAACGGTTCCTGCGCCGCGGACAGGGCACTTCTGCTTTAGCTGTCATGCAAGTCACGGGTTAATTTAAATTCTCCAGATATTTGGGAATGCCTCATTATAGTATTTTGGTTCTTTTTACTGCATGAAATATTTTATTACTGTTTGGAAATTTTTACACTTTCAAAATAATATATATTTTAGTAATACCTTTCTTTATAAAGGAAACGAGGCTTTCTGTGAGCTAGTGCAAATGCTAACTGACATAAACAAGGTATAAATTTGTATCGTGTAAAAAAAAAAAATTCAAATATATGTTTTAACAGAAGTTTTTGAAAGCTATGTTGTCATGAACTCGCAAGTTCTGGCTGGGGTTTTTGTTCTATGTGAGAGCCGAGCTCGCAGAGAAATCTCACGTCCTGCAGAAAAGTGACTGTGTCTCTGCTGGGGATCGGTACGTTGCCCATGACAAGAATAAAATCTCTTTGAGTGAAATGCATTTAGTAATTGTCCTTTAGATATAAAGGAAAATTGGAAAATTGGGTCTTTGATAAGTAACTGTTAGAAAGGATGTTGAAAATTACTTTGAACATCTCTGATTTATCACCATTTATGCATTTTAAGTAAGTATGCAAAATAAACCCTGGTATGCCTATCTAGTACCCACAGCACATCACGGGGATATCCTTCTTTCCTTTTTTTTTCCTTCATCTTTTGTCTTCAGCCAGGGCTGGTAGACTGCTTTCTATTGACAGAAACTACTTTGAAGGTTTTTGTGAAGCAGGTATTTCTAGAGAAGATCAACTGAGAATTTGAAAGCATTTTCAGGCCAGTTTCTGTAAACTATAATCATTCACTTTCCAGTAAAATAGAAGGGTAGAGTTACTTCTTCTGAGCGTTAATGTTTTAATTCAGTGGATTTCGACATTTTTTGGTGTATAGACCCCTAAGAATGTTCCTTGGATGTACATAGGCCCCCATGGCAGGGGGGTTGGACTGGGTGACCTTTAAAGGTCCCTTCCATCCCAAAGCATTCTATGATATAGGAGCTTAATTTTAACTTAAGCCTGGTAGTAGGCTTGTTTTTCACGTCTTTAGAAGTGATCCATGGAGCAGAGAGTGACTAGCGCTGCTTTAAAGCGTTAAATATGTGCCTCTCGTAGGCTAAATCTGCGTATTACTACTGTTTATTTTTTACCGAGTATCAGAGCGTGTGATTTCTGTAAAGTGTCGTTCACCTAGTTCATCGAAATTTTAAGATCAGAATTGCTGATGCACATGAGGCCCTGGCAGAGGGAACCTCAGAGCCGTTTGTTATTGCTGGTGTTTGTTATTGCTTACAGAAAACCTTTTGCAGGACCAGTTTCGGGTCAGTACTGTGGAAAGATCCCATTCTCATTAGTGAAGGGTCTAAAATATTTAACTTTGCTTTTGGAAGAACACTGGGTTTTCATCATAAAAATGATAATCCCTGAAAACCCAACTCTAGCAGAAAGGGACAAACAAGGTGTTTTTTGTTAAGAGTCCGTACTGGAGATTATACAGAAGCTGATTCTCCGTGGGCTCCTTTTGGCAGGGGCTAGTTTTGTTAACAAAGATACAAATATTGATCGCGTTTCTGTCAGGCCTTGTAAGCGCAACAGAATGAAATAATTTACAATTCCACGGCCTTTTCCTGCTCCCTGGCGTAAGAGATTCATTTTGGCAGAAAGCATTTGATCTTCTGCTGAGGGCAGCATGTGAGTGTGTATTCAGCTTCCAGCGTATGCTAAAGAAATGCCCTAAATAGGATATTCTTCGTGCATACTCTTGCTTGAATAATGCTAATATATTTTGAAAACCTTTCCTGAGCAGTTTAGCAATTTAATGGTGGTGTTCTGTCTTCATCTAGCACTGTTCTGCTCTGGCTCTTGGCGGCTGCCTGGGAAACCTGTCGGGATTCGTGGCGCGGGTCGGCCGGCGCCTGGTCGGGATGCGCTGGGGTTTGCCGTCGTGTGTAGCGCAGCGTGAGCTGATAACTCTGCCTTTGCTGCGGTTTCGCTGGTTCTGCTTCCTGGGCACTTCCCTAATTCTTATTATATAGATATAAAATCATACTTCGAGGGTTTGTTTTTCTTTTTTTTTTTTCTTTCCTTGCTAGCAGCCAGCATCCCAATTGTACCCTGTCTGTCTTCAGTTCAAAACTCCTATTTTCCTGGCTGTCTCAGTGTGCAGGCACTTCTACTCTTTACCGATCATTACAGCCAAGCAGCTCCACAGCACTCTCGTTCCCTCAGTGGTTGTGTTCTCACTGATCAACTTAGCAAGAAAATAAAATCTTCATCATATAACAGCTGATTCTTTTTAATTCATGTCAGACAGTCTCACAGGTATGGCTACCATCACTCCTATCACGCATACTTAAGTGCATGATAGATGTTGCATTACTACAGTAGGGGGGGGGGGGGGGGCGAGGAGAGGAAGCGCATGAATTTTCTGAAGAACTCTTTGGGCGTCATATTAGAGAACATTATTTTATGTCTTTGGAAGATTTTCCCACTTAAACTTCAAGAAACATTACCAGCCTGGAACGCATGCATCAGCCTAATAAGAGGGCATAGTGTCAAGAATAGAAATGAAAGGATGTGCTTCCAGCGCCGGGAGGTTTCCATGGCAATGCCGGGCAGCCACGCCGTGCTGTTCCTTGGTATTTAGAGCCTCCGTCTGTAAAGAAAACCAACCAAATCATCAAGTACATCAAGTACGACTGGATCAATAAAATACCGAGGCCTCTACATTTAAAAACCTACCTGATGTAAAACATCTGCAGAAAACTGGTAGCAAAGAGTGCCAGGGGCTGGGGAGGTCCCTCCAGCAGCCGCGTTGCAAGCCTGCAATTATCCAGCAGGTTTCCGGAATATCTCATTGCAGTCAGGAAAACACCGAGGCTAAATCTTGCTTTGGAAAATTACTGTAATAGGAGTCAGCCATAAGGACGTTTCTAGAGCTCTTACTACATTGGATGTTTTTATCATCAAATGGGAGGGGGTTGGTTTTGGTGTGGGTCCGCTATTGAGAAAACAAACCCCAAAATCCCTGTCTTGATAATCCCTGCATCCTTGGAAAAAGGTTACAAAATGCCTTTGCCTTCCCTGGCTAATGGCTGCGACCGCCTCATCTGCAACCAGCAACGGCAGCGGTGTTGTCCCCGGTGCAGTGATGGAAAGGATTCGCGGAGGTTTTGGTCTGGAAGAGGCGCACAGGCACGGCTGGGCTGGACGCGGTGCCGCGGCGGGGCTCAGGAGCGGCAGGCTCACGGCACGGACTGAGGAGGCGTCATCGGGGTCGGTCTGTCCTGCCACCGGCGTCTGTCTGTCCTGCCAGGCAGCCGCTCGGTTCCCGTAAGACACCACACGTGAGCGGGGGAGGGTGTGCGGCTGGGTATGGTTTCCTTATTTCGGGGTAAATCAATATTTCTTCTTTTAGCTGTGCTGCTGCTGCTCATTGCTGAACAGTCTCTAACGATGCCTTTTGGAGGATGTCTTTTAGTAATGGCAATTGGGAAAAGAAAAATAATGATCCTGGCAGGAGTCTCTTACAGCTGTAAGAGTCTACTTTAGGAAATGAAAACCTCATTTATTCTTAAACATTTACCATATTTGTATTTATAGAATTCCTTCAACATTTTAAATTTTCTGTTAAATTCTGTAAGTGTTTTTTCCCAATCAGAGAACACCCTGAAAACTTGATAGTCAGAAAGCAGCTCATATAGCTTTGGAAAAGGTATTAAAAATAATCTGTCCATCAGAAAAAAAAAAATTATTCTTTAGAATAATCCAAATAGGCCAAAGCAAGGCTGGAGACAGCAAACGCGTACACTAACAGGAATAAGATGCTGTTTGCTTTTGGTTTTCTGGCAGCTGTTAGAAGTGCAGAAGAGGGTAGCAAGTGTTTCCGTGTGTATTTCCTAAGTAGCGGGATAGATGAATACGTTGTTCTCGGTCTCTGAAATTTCTGGTTTTACTGTCATAGGAAGTCTTGTAGTAAATGACTAAGGAGCAAGGCTGTTCAATTCACTTGTAACTTACTGTAGTATCCGATCTACAGAAATACTGATATGATAGCATGTGTAAACGGAAACCACGTTGTGCAGACTCCCCATCGTGGAGCAGAAGGGGCTGCGAGGAACCGGGTACGTCCAAACTGCAGCTCCCCGCCACGTCCCGACCGGGCACGGCCAAACCGCAGCCCCCCACCACGTCCCCACCGGGCATGGCCAAACCGCAGTCCCCCGCCATGTCCCACCACGGCTGCTGCCGCGGGACCAGGAGTGACACCCTGAAGGTCGCTGCTTTGATGTAAATGCCGATGAGGCGGGATGCAGTTGATGAGGCGGGATGCGGTTGATGAAGCTTTTCCAGATATGCACAAAAGCTTATTAATAGCAATTTTTCAGCCTGACTGTATGTGAGGTCTGAACTTTCAGCTGCAAAATTATAGGTGTAAGAGAGCATTTAAACATGTTTTAAGTAAACCGTTTTAGCAAGATCATTGATTTGGATGACTGGAAGCCCAGCGCTGTATAATTACAGGCATAACCGGGTGTAACTCCTAGGGAGGCTGCAAAGGTTGCATGCATGCGAGATGATTTTCAGAAGTACACTGTGACATTGAAATTAATTTCGTGTGTTGGTGGGTGGAATTTGGGGTATGTAAATCCCTAATCACCTGGCAAGCAGATTGAAAATATCTCTCCGCTTTTCAATATTCCTTAGCTGTTTGACTATATTAACTAAATTCAGGAGCACAGTTTGCTCACAAATTGTATTCAAAATATGTTTATATGCGTACCTTCAAAGCATACAACACTTTTCCTTTTCTTTGGACTGCATTAATTTTTCTGTATGTCAGGATTCTTACGTTTCTATAAGGAAAATATTCAAGATACACCGGTTCAGTTGATTTCATTAGAGAGATCTTTGGTATTAGAGTTTTCAGGATTTTTTTTTCCCCTAATTATTACTTACTGCGTAGCAGCCAACAGCTTTAACTCATTTAATATAACTGTGCTTACGTGTTAGCTTACTTTCCAACTGCAGTAATCTTTGGGGATTTTTTTACCATAGCTTTGATCTGTCCGTGTACATGAGAGATGTTTAATCTACCACCATCATCAATAAACACACACATGTACCAAAAGAACCCCTTTCTGTGAAGAAATATTTTCTAGAACGAAGTAAATAGAATTATTAACATGTAAAGCATTTGCTTTCGGTGTTTATATCTCTGTAACCTGAGATTTTGGTTTTATTTTACTCTAAACTTTAAAGAGTATTATACAGGAGAGATTCCCCTGTAAAGGACAAGGCGGAGTGTGTGATGTTTCGCTTTCAGGTATAGGTAGATAACATGTACTTAGCCACCCAAAACTAAACATCAGCGGAGCTGCAGGAGTATTTTTTCTACTGGTTCTAAGATTAGGAGTAAAGCCTCAAAGTTGTTTGATTTTTTTTTTTTTTTCCTACAAATTATTATGAGCCTCAAATATTTCTGATTGACACGCGCTGAGATTTGCAGGAACTGACATTGACTCAGTGTTCAAAAATGATGGAAGAGGAAAAAATCCTGGCAGTGGGCTGCACGGAGATCAGATGGGGTTTAATGAAATCATTTGATGCAGTAATAGGAATCGTTTTAAAATGCCTGTGAAATCAAAGGTAGTTTTAAATAATTAATGTCTATATATAAAAAGGGATAAATTATGTGGGCAAATACAAGCCTTAGTTTTAATTCCATGGTGTGCAATGTTTCAGCACAAACTTTGAAGGAATTAATATTTGTAAGTAAAAAGATAAATAGAAAATGGGTTTGTCTCGCATGGGTTTATTAGAAGCTAAATTATAACACGCTGGGGTTGACGGCTCATTTTCCAGACCAAGGAAATGTGGCAGATCTGCTGGATCTGTTCTTCACCAAAACATTTCTATAAGGGGCACTCGGGAGATTCTCTCCTGAGCCAGGAGATGGGGGTTGATATGAATTGATATGGGAAGATGGGCAGTGCTGAAGGATGAGATGTCAGGCTGGGGACAGGTCGCCATTAGAGTTTCTTAACTGTAAAGTTGCAGCTGGACGTTGTTTTTTTTCACTAGATAACTTTTCACAAAAGGTGGGGAATAAACTCCTGGCATGTGCTGGGTTGGAAGATGCAGAGAGGGGCTTAAAGTACGATTGAAGTACCGTGGTTGGAAGAATACCTGATTGTGGAGAATTCATTCAGGTGGAAGGAGAAGGGTTAAACTACAGAGGAGAAGGAAGGGAAGACACCTTCAACCTTAAAAATTATGATGTGACAATAACTGGTTTATGAATAATTCTGTGTGAAAATTAGAGTTTAAGGTTTGTTTTTTTTTTAAATGAGATACATCAATCTTATACCACAATATTTGCAGTCTGGCTGTCTTTAGTCCCTCAGTGCTTTCCGTCGCTGTCAGGGCCCTTACTGCCTCTCTCGAAGGGTGGGAGGTCAGTAAATCGGAATATTGCTGCCTGTTTGTTGGTCTTTTTCTGGGAAGAGATAACCAAGATGACTAGAAGGATGGTAGTAAAGCAATAATTCATAAAATTGTTGCCACGTTTAAAAAAAATCTAGGCACATTGGAGGAAAGACACAATTCATTGGTAATACCTGATTCCCAGGCTATAGCATCAAGTAAATTCTATCCCTAGACATTTTGCTGGATTAAAAAATATAACGAATATTAAAATGAAAAAGACTGCAATAAAATGTAATGGCAGTTTCTCTCAAAAATCTTTGGAGTACTACATGGAGCAGTCACCAGTGTCAGTAAAAAGCTGCTGGCAGGCATTGAATACCTGACCGAGGTGTCGTCTACAGAGCAAAGTATCAGGGACAATTCTGGTATTCACCGTAGTTGCGATGAAGAGTGATCAAATGTATTACCAAACATCAAATGTATTTACCTCTGCCGTGAGGACAGGCTGAAAGAGCTGGGGTGTTCAGCCTGGAGCAGAGGCGGCTGCAGGGGGACCCTATTGCGGCCTTTCAGTACTTAAAAGGGGCTTATAAGAAAGATGGGGACAGGCTTTTTAGCAAGGCCAGTAGCGATAGGGCAAGGGGTGATGGTTTTAAACTGAGAGAGGGGAGATTCAGACTAGATATAAGGAAGAAATTTTTCACGATGAGGGTGGTGAAACACTGGCAGGGGTTGGCCCGAGAGGGGGGGGATAGGTTGGACGGGGCTCTGAGCACCCTTTGATCTGGTGAGATGTCCCTGCCCATGGCAGGGGGATGCACTGGATGGCCTGGAAAGGGCCCTTCCACCCCAAACCATTCTGTGGTTCTGTGATTACCGTAGTGTATCTTGTCTGTATGGTGAACAGGTCTCTGGAATCCCACAATCCTTCACCATTATATGAACTTCTGGAAAGTAGTCATTTTACCAGGGAACATTCAAGAGGGTTGGTTTGTTTGGTTTTTTTAAAATATTGCAAAGATAGAAGTCCTTTTCTTCTGAACAGGGTGCAGGTTCATCTGCATTTCTATGACAACTGTAGTAGATAGCAGATTGTACCAAAGACAGCCAAAAATGTGCTTAAAAAAAATGTACAGGAACACACATTTTAAAAAACGGTAGCGTGGGAGGAATTTCCTGCTGGGGAGAGCAGTCGGAGGGGGAGAGCGGGAGCGAGCCGGGGGGATGCTGGTCCTTGGGCAGGGACCGCGGGTTAAAGCCCCCCTGGAATTGCATGTGCTCATTGCTCTCTGTCCCGTGAGTTACTCCCAGGTTGCGTTGTCAGCCTATCAGTAGGGCATACGTCAGTTTTAATGCATGCTCCCTTTTCGGTACAGCCGCGTGTCCCTTGGCATCCGTCAGCGTGAAGTTTCACCTGAAGTGACTAGTTGTCACTCAGCTGCGAAACGCAAGATGTTAAACACAAGAATATTTTGGTGTTGTCATTGCTTATCCCAACAGAGTACATCACTTAGCATACTAATGAAATTATATAAAAGGATTTAGCCCTAATTAAATAAAATCTGCATTAAGTTACTATGGTAACTGTTATGTCTATGTCGAGGAGCTCTAATTACAAGACTGTACCAGCGTTCCTGTTCAAAACACCCAGTGGTCCTTAAACTCTGTGTTGTATTACCAGGAGGTATTTTAGTCCTGCTGTCTGCTTAGGAGGAGACTAAAGCGAAGGGTGGGACGAGCCTGAATAAGGAACTGGGCAGTCGGTGATACCTTTGTTGATGCCAAAAATATCAGTGAGCCTTAGAGAAGAGTGAATCCCAAGGAATCGATATTGTCTGGCAGAACAGCAAAGCTTTGCAACCCTGGAAGCGGCCGATGGAAGGCTTCGTTTGCCCCCGTTGTTCCCCCCGCTGCCTGTGTTATGCCTCCGGTTCTGCACACTGGGACCTTCGGCCTTCTTCAGTTCCTTCTTCAGTTCTTTTCAGAGCCTAGAGAGGCGGAAGGTTGCAGAACAGCAGTTAAGACACGTAGTGATGTGTATCATAGCAAGACTTTAGTGATCTGACAGAAAAACAGGTTACTTCATTTAACAACAGGGTATTAAAGTCCAGGATTACATGATTGTTTATACTTGTGCAGTCATATCGAAGGCATTGAGCTTACTCAGAGTATAGATTTTGGCTCCCATAGTGGGAGGGGACAGTTTGCATCTAGGAGAGGTTCATCAAATTCTCTTCTTTGTCTATAACTTCTTTTTTTTTTTTTTTTTTTTTTTTTTGAGTCGATCATGGTACTCACCGGCATCTGAACCAGAGAACATACGTTCTGCATCTGTGTTTCACTCCCCTGGTTCTGCGATGCTCAGAGTACCTGTGCTTGCTGCTTTCTATTGCCGTCCATGGTATTAACCAAGATCTGCCGTGCCTTTGCTCGCGATGGTCATGAACATGATTCTGCTTTGAAAAATATATCCGTGTATACATTTATATATATAAAAAAGCAGAAGTTCTTCTCTGTTGCTTTAAATATGATGAAATCCTGGAACATTCAAACACCCGGATAACATCCATACCCTACAGTTAATCCATGAGAGGATGACACCTTTCTAAGATGGTGGTTTGTGTATGTTCATGTTGTAAGGACGCAGAACCGAGCGCGCCATTCGTGCAAGCTGCCACGTTGCCGTTCAAGGCTGTGCGCTTTCATTGCTACCAAGAGCTGTGCCCCTGCTGTTTCCCTTAAACTTTTGCTTGAAATTCCCTGTTGAATTGTGAGCCGGGGAAATAAATCAGGAGGTAGCTGCTGACCTGTCCGTCAGAGCCCCTCCTGCTAGAAACTCGGTGTGGTTTGTGTTTGTTTTAGTCAATGTTTTCTGCGTATTTTAATTCCAGATTTGGCAGTGCGGCGGCTCCCTTGAGATCGTCACCTGCTCACACGTTGGCCACGTTTTCCGAAAGGCAACGCCTTACACCTTCCCTGGTGGCACGGGGCACGTCATCAACAAGAACAACAGGAGGCTGGCAGAGGTCTGGATGGATGAGTTTAAGGACTTCTTCTATATAATATCCCCAGGTAAGATATTATTTTCTGATCATATTACGATGGGTAAAGCTGTCCGAAAAAAGGAAAGTGTCAATATAAGGCACGTACAGGTAAGTGTAGACATGCATGCATGTATATGTACTAAAAGTTGAGACATAACAGCACAAGTGCTTTCTAAATTCAAGGGAATTTCCTTTCCATGTGTCAAAACCTTCTGTATTCTCTTCCCAAGGTAAAAATATTAGTTAAGGCTTCTCCTCTCCTGAAGATGGTAAGGTTTTTTTCCAGAACGTTATTCTGATAATATTAGTTTGCAGCCAAGTAGGAAATCTCTTTGGCCCATTTAGTCTAAGAAATTCAGAATTTGGCCAGATTATCCTTGTGATCCCCGAAGGTACCTTCAGACGGCGTCAACGGGAGGGACAGCAGAGATGCTCTGGGTCACTGGATGGAAGGGCAGGAGCCCTTCGGAGCACAGGACTCGCTGCCATGAGGTATCTTCACCACGTCCTTCTGTCTCACCACTGCCAAGCACCAGTCCTCACCAGAAACACTCCCTTTTAGTCATAACAGATTTCTCTTCCTTTTTATTGCTGATTTTCATTTATATCTCAGTACAGCGCACATAGCGCATACAAATTATGTACAATGTAATCACGTATATCACACACAGTTATACGAGATAAAAACCATATTCCTATTTGATCTTCCAAAAGTTAAGGTTTATATTGTGAGTAAATATTTTGATGAAGTAACAAAATGTTGTTATATTAAAGCTGGGAATGTTTTTATCTAAAGATAATTATGGCCTCTACGTGAGTGAGCTTAATGGAGTACCTACGTTAAAGATGGAGCGGGAGGTGGGGGTTTCGTTCGTCCCCATGCCACCCTCCGAGGTCTCCCTCTGAAAAGGACGTGTCCTGTTCAGCTTGGTGAGCGCTGCCTGCCCGCGGGGCTCCCTGGGCTGGGCAGAGCCATCGCTCTGCTTTGGAGAGACAGCCAGCCTGCGCCCGTCAAGTGCCGTCGCATTTTAGTTTGGCTTTTTGTACTCTTTTTTATTAAGCATCACTTTACTTCATGCAACTAACTCTTAAATAAATCTTGGTCTTTAGAATAATGTAATAACTACCCTCAGGTCTCTTACATGGCAGTTTTCATGTTCATTCTTTCATCATTTAAAATTTACCTGTTCACTGGAAAAAATAGACTTGGAGACAATTCAATTTTTACCAGACTTAGGGTTTTAAACAAAACTTTTTTTTTCTTGAACAAACACAAGAATCAAAAACTTTAACGAGTTGCCATGATCAGGAGAAAACGAGTATGTACCTTCAAGTGCTGGCTCTCTAGTAAAGACTGTTTTGTACCTGTATTTCAAGCGGTCCTTTGGTCACAGCCAACCTCTTAAAGCAGGCATTTTGAGCTAAGCCTTTTCTTTCTATAAATCAGGACTAGTAGTTTTATTTGATTTGATTTGGCTGAAATAAGTGAAAAAATAAGGTTAATATACTTTATAATGTTATTTTTCTTTTAAAGATTTGTATATAAAATGGAAAACTGTTCTGGGTGCTTTTTTTTATTCCAAAGAGGTTTACTGATACCTCAAAATTATACAGTCAATAAAAAACTAAATTGCTTCCATTCGAAAGCCAGAATATACAATGTCTCACATATGAGAGCCAGTTATTTTTCATAGTATTTATAAATTATTACTTAAATTGTCTGTGGTAGAGAGTAGCCATAGACTATGTAAGCTGTTGTTACTATTTTATTGTGTGCTCTGGGATAATCTTCCCAGTCTTCCATCTTTAAACTTTCTTCCAATTTAAATTCTGTAGCAACAGAATCAGTTTAAATTTGCACTGTCACCAAGAAGTAACCCCTGGACCATATTATTATCCGTATGAGTTTTGCGTGTCATCTCCAGCACAAGTGACTGTTGTTATACCTCAGCTCAGTCCGGCTGCACACCTGCTTGTTTCCACAAACAAGCTGTTTTGGTGCTTTGATTTTTCCAGGGCTTCAGGACGTCTCGGTCAATCATCAGGTGCCAGCACGTAATCACAAGCTGTGAAGTCAGAAAACTCTTGGTTTCTGCATGGGTTATCGCAGGTGTCCTGTGGCTGTGACAGTATCTGCTCCTAAAATATTCTGAGCCTGTCCTGCAAAACCCTTATCAAGCCAAAAAATTTAAAGCACCACAAAAAAAAGTCTGTGCACATCTTAAGTGCCCTGTTAATGGTGTAAAAAAGGTATTTATCTATCTACACCTTATATATGCACTAAATATAGGTATATATAAATGTGTGTATAACCAAAAGAGGCAAGCATGAAACACATATTAAAAGAAATGTCAAGAGCCTGATGATCCCCCTCGATCAGAGCTTTGGGTTGGCACCGAGTGTTTTTGGGAAGCGTTCGCAGGGCTCTGCCTCCCGCTCGGCGAGAGGTGCAGGCGGGTTTCCTCTGGCCTTCTGAAATACCTTCTTGGGTGCATCTTCTGGTGGTGCTGAGGCAAGGGGGCTGGGAGTGGGACACCTGCGGAGGGACGTCTGGTCTCCTCAAGGAAAAGTAAGTCTGTTCCCTCCGGGGAGCAGCCCGTGAGGAAAGGTTTCTTGGTCCAGTAGGAGGGATGAAACCATGGAAGAAAACTAAATGTTCCTGACTTCAGGACCGGCAAGAAGAGCCAGACTAGCCAGCAAGGTGAGCCACCATCCCCCTTCAGTCCGGGTGTTGTACAGGTGGCAGCGGGATTCCTGGAGGGCAGAGCAGAGTCTCCAGGAGCCATCGGTATCTTCAGGTGCTGTTTGTCCTCTGGTGTCCATGTTTCTTCTGAGCCACCGCGACGATGAGTTGCTGCCTTAGTCTGGAGGAATGGGTCCGCTATTAAAGCTACGGGTGTCTGTCGTCCCGCGTAGTGCTGACGAAACGGGCATCTCGTGCCAGGCCTGATGGAAGTGCACTGTGGAGTTCACTTGCACGGGATTTACCAAAACGCAGAAGATGCACGTACCGTGAGTGACAAACAACCACATTGACAGGATCCTCTTAAATATGGAAATTGAACTTTGTGTGAGATAGGCAGGACTGTGTCCCTTTGTAATTGGTAATTATATCTACCCAATTAAAGCTGAAGGAATAGGACGCGTGACAAAAAATTTGGCTGACTGTTTCTAACATAATTGGTTTCTGTTCTGCAAGAGGAAGGGAAAAAAATTGGAAAAAATAAATATAAAGCTGACAAATGAATGTCTAATATGATGTAAAAGTGAATTCAAAACCCATGTAAGATGCAGTCAAGTTCAAACCATAAATATATCCCATGGGATTAGCCATTCTTTAATTCAGTTCTCCCTTATTAATTTCTTTTTTTGTGTAGTCTCATAATACCAAGTTCCCATTGCATTTTTGTTGAACTAAATGCATTTCTAATAATTTACCCTGAAAGCGTACATTTTCTCACAAGTATGAGGCATGCAAATACTAACGATGTATATTCACCACGCAGCGTATGGGGTGAATACATTGCAGTCTGTGTGCTTTTATATTCCGCCTTGACAGCAAATTTTTCTAGGCTGATTAGGAGTTAGTTGCTTTAAAGCATTTAGGTGAGCTCAAGCTCTAAAAATACCATACTAAGGGCTATTTAAAATACAATACATTTTAAATGAGGTATTAGCAAAATGCATTTAAAGGCAACTAGAATAGTGATACACATGGTAGAATAATTTAAAAATTCCAGTTTCAAAAAGAATGCCAGATGAAATTTCTGCTGTGTCGTTTTCTAAAATATGTTAATAGTTCAGTTAAAAGACACTTCCAAATTGGTCATATTTTAATTTTCAAATTCTTAAATGCAACACTCCAAATCCTGGACGAGAACTCTTTTTTTCCTCTCTTCCCTTGCTTTTCTTTTTGTTTTGGGATCTTCTGAGCAAGGGTCTGTTTGGTTCAACAGGACTTCTGCAGTAGACCTTGATTTTTATTATTCTTTGTTTCCACAGAATTTCTCCTGAGATATTCTGAGTTGTGGGAGTGAGGACTTTAGTGTTGAGCTAAAGGTTAAGTTTGGATGTAGAAATTTAAAAAGGCCGTGGAAAAATATATCCCATTTAAGCCTACCTTTGACCAGCTTGACTATTTCTCCAGCATATCTGCAAAACCTGGAGCAATCCCCTCACTACGGACTTGCCCTGCTCTGCTGCTTTGATGGTTTGACGTGTCAGACCTCCAGTACAATAGATTAATTTGGAACCACCCAATTGAAAAAATAAATCTCAGGAAAGTGGCAGTGGGAAATAGCTATTTCCATCTATCAGAGTGCACGCGTTGCAGAATGCCATGTAAACTGAGCGATGCAGTCATACCTCTGCACATCTAAGTATTTTAAATATGAGACTTAGTTTTGAAAGTGGCTAATGAGGAGTGTGTTGGATGATGTGAATCAGGACCTTAATCCTCTCTGCTGCTGGTTCCAGCCTGGAGCTATCCGTATGGTGCTGCTGTCACAGGGCGTGATTTGGCCTGGCCATCTTCTGTCAAGGTGCTCGGTGGATGGATGGATGGGTGGATGGATGGATGGACGCTCTCGGGGTTGGGAAGAGTGGTGAATACCAACGTGTCATCTTCTGAACTGGCCAGCGTCCCGCGGTT